CGGCTTTCATTTTTTGCAACCAAGTCATTTATTTTCAGCTCAGTTATCATTTGGGTCACTCTTCTGATTACTTTCGGTTACTATGACCCAATGGAGTTTGATTCGCCCTAATTGACATCTAGATTATACTTGACATTATTATGAGCAAATTATAGACTAACCATTTTATTATGAGCACGACTAACATAATGATAACTCTTTTGATTACTTCGAGTCACTATTAACCCAACGGACTTTGATCCATTTTAATTGACATCTTGATGACTTGAATATTGTGAGCTAATATTTAACCAATTGCTTTGTTATGAGCTTAACTGCTGTTATAATTAGTAGTTTGATCACTTCAAGTTACTATTTACTCAATCAATTTGATATCAGGTAATTGACAATATTGTACCTTTCTTGATTACTCCGATTTATTATGGAACCGGTTGACCTATGATTAGCTCAATTCACAATATTGTTCCTCTGTTGACTTCTTCGAGCTACTTTTGACCTATAGATTGTAATACGGCCTAATTGGCATTATGATAACAGTTTTGATTACTTTGGGGTAATATTCAACTAAATTATGTTTTATGAGCTCATTTAACATTATGAATACTGTTCTTTTAGTACTTCGAGTTCCTATTGACTTAATAGATCTTAATTCAGCAAAATTGACATTTTGGGGACTCCCTTGATTACTTCAAGCTACTATAACACTAGTTCACCTATTACGAGCTCAATTCACAATATTATTACTCTTTTCATTACTTCAAGTTACTCTTGACCCAGTTGACTTTAATTTGGCGTAGTTGACATTGTGATGACCGTTTTGATTACTTTGAGCTAATATTCAAAGAACTGATTTATTATGAGCCCAATAGACATTATTATGACTATACCTCTTGACTACTTTAAGTTAATATTAGCCCAATGGACTTTTATTTGTCATAATTGACATTTTGGTGACTCTCCTTATTACTTACAGTTATTAGATCACTAATTGATATATTGCGAGCTTAAATCACTTTATTATTTCTCTTTCGGTTACTTCGAGTTACTTTCGACAGAACGGGCTTTAATTCGGCCAACATATAATTTTGATAGCTTTCTTTAGTACTTTGAACTAATATTAAACCAATTCATTTATTATAAGCCTAGTTGACATTATCGTTACTCTTTCGATTACTTTGAGTTACTATTGAGCTAATGGTCTTTATTCCGGCATAATTGACACTTTGGTAACTTCCGATTATTTAGTCTTATTATACCGCAAAAGGATCTATGAGCTCAATTCAAATTATTACTCTTGAGTATTTCTATTTTGATTACTGACATTATCATTTGACATTATCATTGCTCTTTTGACTACATTGACCCATCGAATTTTAATTCGGCTTAATTGACATTTGTGTGACTCTCTTGGTTAGTTAGAGTTATTATACAACCAATTGAGCATTTATGAGCTCTTTTTAAGTTATTATTATTAATTTTTAAATATTTTGAGTTAATTTTGACCCGCTGGACTTAATTCGGCCTACTTCACATTGCAATGACTCTTCTGATTACTTTCAGCTAATTATCATTCATAATAGATCAATTCGATTAATGTAGCTCAAAGTAATAAAAAGTTACTCCAATATCAATTAGGCCATATTAAAGTTTATTGCGCCCAAGGTAACTTGAATCAATCAAAAGAGTACAAATAATGTGATTTGAGCTCGTAATAGATCAATCGGTGGTATATTAACTCGAACTAATAGGAGAATCAGCGAAATTTCAATAATGCCAAATTAGAGCCTCTTGGGTCAATACTGGCTCAAAATAATAAAAAGAAGTATCATAATGTGAAATAGCCCCATAATAAATAAATTCGTTTAATATTACAAAAAGTAATCAAAAGGGTCCCCACAATGTCACGTGGGCCGCATTAAAGTCCATTGGGTCAAACATAACTCGAAGTAATAAAAATAGGAATATGACTGTGAATTCTGCTCATAATAGATCAATTGGTGCTATAACTCCGTGTTAGCAAAATAGTCACTACGATATATATTGGGCCGAATCAAAGTCCATTGGGTAAAAGTAACTCCAAGTATTCATGTCAACTAAGGTTATAATTAATCAGTTGGTGGAATATTAGCTCAAAGTAATCAAAAGAGCCATCAAAATGCCATGTGGGGCGAATTAAAGACGGTTGTATCGAAAATAACTTGAAGTAGTCAAAAGAAGCCTAATGAAGTGATTTGAGCTCATAATAAATTAATCGGTGATATAATGACTCTAATTAATCAGGATAGTCACCAAAGAGTCAGTTACGAGGAATTAAAGTCCATCGGGTCAATGGTACCTCGAAGTAATCAGAAGAGTAATCATCATGTCTATTGGGCTCATAATAAATCAGTTGGTTGCATATTAGCTCGAAGTAATCAGGAGAGTAACCAAAATTCTAATTATTCCGAATTAAAGTCCATTGGGTAAATAGTAACTCAAAGTAATCAAAAGAGTAATTACAATGTCAGATAGGTTTCAATTAATCAAATGGTTAAATATTAAGTCAAAATATTCTAGAGTCATCCAATTGTCGTGTAGGCCGAATTAAAGTCCATTGGGTCAAAAGTAGTTCTAAGTAATCAAAAAAGTAATTTTCGTGTCCAGTAGGCGCACGAGTCAATTAGTTGAATATTAGCGCTAAGTAATGAAAATGGTCATCACAATGTCAATTAGACCAAATTGAGATCAATTGGTGAATAGTAACTCGAAGTAATCAAAATAGTAATAATAATAGTCGAATCAAGCACGTGAGTGATGAAGTTGTGGCAGAGTAACTCGAAATAATTAAGTCTCCAAACTGTCAATGACGCCAAATTAAAGTGCATTGGTTAACTCAAAGTAATCAAAAGACTAATCATAATGTTATCTTAGCTCATAGTAAATAATTTGGTTGAATAATACGTCAATGTAATCAAAATAGTCATCATAATGCTAATTATTAAAATCTATAGGCCCACAGTAACTCAGAGTAGTCAAAAGAGGAATAATGTGAATTGAGTCAATATTAGATCAAGCGGTTGTAAAATAACACGGAGTGACCAAGAGAGGCACTACATTATCAATTAGCTGACATAAAGTATATTGAGTGAATAGTAACTCGAAGTAATAAAACTACTAATTATAACAACAATTAAGCTTATGAGAAAGCAATTGGTTGAATTTTGGCTCAAAGTAATCAAGTCATCAAGATGTCAGTCAGGACGAATTAAAGTACATTGGGTCAAACGTAACTCGAAGTAATCAAAAGAGTAATTATTATGTGATTCGTGCTCATAATAAATCGGTTAGTCTATAATTTCCGCAAACTAATGACAAGAGAAATTATGATGTCAGTTAGGCCGAATGAAACTCCATTGGGTAAATAGTAAGTCAAAGTAATCAAGCGTGACAAAATGGCCACTAAGCTGAGAATAAATCATTTGGTTGTGTAAAAGCTCAATGTAATAATGAGAGTGAGGAGTGTGTTAATTGGGCCAATATAAAGTAAAATTAGTCACTGTAGTTACTCAAAGTAATCAAGATACCAATAATGCTGATCTAAACCAAGTTATGTGCTAAAATATCGGCAAAAGATTGAAAAAAAATGTTACTACTGTTGTTTAAGTTAATTTTAGGTTGATTGGGTGAATAGTAGCACGGATTAATCGAAGGAGTAATCAAACTCTTTGCCGAACTTCGTTGAAGTCGCCTTTGTCCATAATAATTGAGAGTAGTCGACTGAGTAACGAAAAGTTGGCTTCTATAAAGTTTTTGTGCGTCAATAATTGCTTTATAACCAAAAAATAATCAGAATGTCAAATGAGCTTCTACGAAGTTTTATTTTGTCAATGATTTCACGAAGTCATCGAGAGAGTAATCAAAATGTTCGTTGAACCTTTATTTTCTAAAGTGCGTTATTAATAGGTCGAAGCACCTAGAAGTGCAAGACATACGTCCACTAAGCTTTAAGTAAAGTCAGATCTGTCAATAATGGCGCAAAGTAATCAAAAGAGTAATCACAAAGTGCAAATATACTTATATCATCTTAACTGTATCAATATTAAGTCGAAGTAATGAGAAAGAGTAAACAAAAACAATTCTGGGCACATAAAATTAAAGATTACTATTAATATTATTAAGACGCCAATTCACCCAAGGAAACGTTGAGTACGCCACTAATATCTCGAGGTTACGAAAAGGGCATGCGCGTGTCAGTCGTGTGACTAGCAACTCAAAGTTATCGAAATAATGATCAATATAGTCCCCAACCAAATCTGATTGTATATATAATTACTCTAATTCATCAAAAGTGTAAGCGAAACACTACCACTCAAGACAAAAAAGTGCATGTATAAATTGTGGGTTAAATTGACTGACCCCGGGATTAAATCAGGTACCGCTGAGATTAAATTGAATGGCGCTTGAATGACATTGAATGGCACTTGAATTTAATTGACCACCATTTGCATTAAAATGAGGGGGGAAACCTGTATAACGTCCCCCTTATTTATTTTAACTCAAAGCAAAAACCTTGAATATGGCTGCAATATAACCAGGCCATTCTTGTTATACGTTAAGACCGCAATAAGAGATATCCTAAGATATGCTAATATTACTCCAAGTCTAATTCACCTTCTTGGTACAAAACTGGAGTTTTTATTGCATCTTCAACGAGCCCCCTATAGTCCACCAGTTTTCTATATAAAATATGTGCTACAAAACATATTGCTTGGTTATTAGAAAAGCGACAAAATGAAAATTCTAGCTTGTCTAAACCCGCGCTCTGCCATTTTAAATATATATATATATATATATAAATATAATAATAATAATAATAATCTAATATATATATATATATATATATATATATATATATATATATATATATATATATATATATATATATATATATATATTTACGCACAATAGCGGACCCCTGTGGTGTTACAAAGTCAATATTCATTCCGAGCATTTACTTCTAGGGTTTTCCCGGGACCAGCTGGGCTCGTACGACAACCTTTACCGTTTTTTATCGGGACTGTATTTTTTTATTGGCATTCTTTGGTCCCTCCTGCTTTGGTCAGAACAGAGAAATGACGCGACTTCAAGTACCAGAAAGAACCCCGAGGACTGTGCAGTGTCAACGGCATTCAGAGGCGTTATTGCGAATGATGGGAACGGACATAGTTTAATAGAAGAACTTTAGATACCATGACGACAGCACGCCAAGTTTGACCGACTATTTACGGTTTACCTTGAACAAAGAAATTTATCTACACTTACATGACTCAGTGAATCGGCATAGCCAACGACCACCCCCGGATTTCGCGGGAATCTCGCTTTTTATTTTGTGCGATCTTAAATGGGCAACAAGGCGGTTTGTTTGAAACCTACGCAATGAATGGCCTCAATGTGCATAAGATAACCAAGCAAGAAGGTGTTAGCAGCCATGTGGTTACAGTATCTTAAGGCATCTGTTGCTATACCAACGGGCCGCCGAACGCACGTTGAAAACTGGTTTTGTGTAAACGTCACTTATGTAATTGCTGAACATATCATGTGATAAATCTGTTCACATTTTTAACTTTCGAAAATTCCGAGGCGACAATCATAACGTGCAACGAGTGCCTCAATACCTCGCTCCACCAGGTCCCCGAACTTTAGACGAAAGCTGGAGACAATAAAACTATGAACTTCTGTGACCCACTTGCTCCGTGTCTTTTTGTTTGAGCTATCGACAGAGTAAAGTCCTATAGATAATTGCTTGCAGATATACGCAGACCACTGCACAACCTTATCACCATTGCGCTAGCTCTCGAATGCGGCAAGTATGGACTACAAAGCGCCGACACAAATGATCAATCGAAATAGCTTAACCAACATTATAGGTATTTTTGTCACTGGCTCATTCAAAAGTTTCATGCAGCACACAAATCCGTCGTATTTTCTTTCTTTTTTTGCGATAACATTGGACGATTACAAAAGACGCTGACTATTCGGAGCTGCCCCTTGATTCTCGTAGCCAGCCAAGACATGCTCGGTGATCAGTCAGCCACTTCAGAGGTTCAAGCAAATATCAGGTGTTGTTCCAAGGCGGATCATGTCACGTCTTATGAAGGCTAGTAATATTTATGTTGTACAAGACGTCCGACAAAGGAATTTAGAATAACATGTTGAATACCTCCTACGGAAAGTAGTGAGAGATTTTTTTTTCAAGTTTCTCTAAATAAAGACACTTGATGCACAAAGGCAAAAATGATAATCTAGTTCAGCTACTTCCAAAGATACTTGGCAAGAAGACAAAAGCCTGTAGTGAATTGATTATGTTGATCAAAAAGGTAAAAATAGAGCCTGTTGTTATTATCACCTCATTAAAAATTGAATTTTCTGGTGAATTTTCATATACGCTATTTGCCGTTGGGCACATGCCTATCGCGAAGCACCTGGTTGAAATAAAAGGTAATTACAGGATAATTTGTAATACGCAAGAGAATGGAGGATACATCCGGAACGGTCCTTCATACAGTGCAAGTGATAAAGAGGGTTCATATATTGAAGGCATGGCATATATATGCTGTGCTTTAACTCGCTGACAGTCTCATCACATGAAGCCATCTGCAGATCAGTTTGTTTGCCGATACAATGTACCGTGTAATCCTAACCAATGTGTTCAAATAAAACTAAGCTTTTATAAAGCGTGCAGAAGACAGCACAAAGGGGCGCGATATCTGCTTGAGGTAAATTATCTTGTTATAAAAAAAAAAGGGTAGAAATGCCCATTTGGTGAAATTTAGAGAGCTTTTCCTAGTATTATCTTAGTTTCAATTAGAAACATAAATAAAATGATGAGTAAAAAAATAGAGGTATAATTAAGATAGTATGTAAACTCTCTAATTCCAATGTGTTCCTACATGTGTTCCGACATGTACATGTGTGATTGAAACAACAACCGCTAGGATTGCCCTTTACTAAAATGACCGCACTCGCGCAGAGGTGTTGCAGTTCATTTGCAGCCCATTCTTAAATGTCGTTTTGTTCTGGTTCAGAATATTCCTGAACTTAGCGCGTGCATAAGAGTAGCGGTAGCACGCTGCTTGAAGACAATTGCCTTTCCGCCACCGACGCCAAATCCGCTGTGCCTTTCCGTGTGTTTTCTTTTTTTAGATGCACAATTTGGTTTTATTAAACGGTTATTTTAAGTTATAAATGAATCTGGTTGTTTTTATTCATTTTGTTATTTTTACTACTGTTCCGATTCTGATTTGGTTCAATTAGTGTAAAGATAACATTGTGGTATTGCATAATGTTTTTTGTGAATAAACACGTGATACGAAAATAAAAATCCACATGAACGTTTTTTTTTTTTAACAAATCAGGGTTACACTTTATTTGTATTTCTTGATCTCACGAGATATCCCTGGTGAAATCGAGGATCCTCCCAAGCGGTCCGACCTTCCTTCTTTCAGAGAAAGCAAACTTTGCATCTTTCTTGCACCATGAGGCAGGGCACCAAGTACTGTAATGTTCTAATTGGGGACATTAATAAAGCGTCACAAGCCAAACAACCGAGTTGACATTTGTTTTGCTTTCCAGGGAGAAGCAAGAACATCAAAAGGTATTCAGAAAAATACCTGAAAAAGGTGAAAGCTGGAAGTAAGTGGTCTCAAACACAAATGTTTGTCAGCAAACAAAAATTCCCAGAAAGTAGACGCCAGCAGCCCCACGATGTCCCTTGCCGATTCGTTGGAGCAAAGGGTATCAGACTCCAAAACCACCTTAGAGATATATGTTGCTATCCGTATATCATGTTATTAAGCGCGACATATTCTCAGCTGTCGAATAGCGTTGTAATGCTGGTTATACACCGTCCCACCCATTTTACGATTCGTAATTTTCGTGTATAACTCGTGGCGAAAAGGTGGCCACGAAGATCTCGTTTTGTCGGTGTTCCCTCCTCAGCAACCTCTCTTATCTTTGTGGGTAACTTACAGACACGATAAGGATAAGGCACGTTACAGGCGCAGCACAGAGGCGTACCGAGGCCACGGACAATGCGCCAAGCTCCTACAATGGCTGCGCCACTGAAATTGCGGATCCTGGACACGCCTGTTCAGTATCGCTTTGTTGGGCCAGCTAAGCAGCGTGGGTAATCGTATCCAAGGCTTCCGAGACACTAATTTTAGTGCTCTACTAAAAGGACGTTCTACGTGCGGTCATTTGCATGAGTAAGTATGTTTTTATCCTTATCTGACAGTTTCTTAGCTAAGCGTCGTAATCCCAATTATCGCAAATGCTTTTTTAGGGTATATCGGGTTGTATGCCCGCGGTACACAATCCCGAAAGGGCGAAGCTTGAGTAGAATAAATACTCGCGTACAGTCTAAAACTGCCAAATGTTTTCCTCGCGCTGCTGAACACAAAACGAACTCGGAAGAAAAAAGAGGGGGGTGGAAGGGGGGGGGGGGGGGGGGGGGTAACCAGCATTGCTAGCCGCGCTTTCACAAATATCAACAATGTACAAGTACCCTCAGGATGTCGCTCGTTTCCGAAGCAAAATAGAACACCCTCTTATCCGGTGCAAAGGCGAGCACTCGAAACTGCTACAGCGTGCTCTTTGCGTCGACCGTGAATTTAAGCAAAGAAGCGAAGGCTTCACGTTGAGAACAAGGTGTTGACAACAAACTCGCTGCATTCGCTGCAGTTTATTATAGTTACGTTGGCTGCCACTCCATATCTGTTCAAGACGAAACGTCTTAAGGATTGCTTATGAGGGCCTTAATTGGAAGCGCGACCCCTTTCTTGTTCGCTTCCGATTCCCAGAATAGGATTAACAGAAAAATTCCATCACACACGCTGCTCCGCATTGCATGGGATATATCGCCCATAATAGTAAGTGAAACTATAGACCAGGGGTGCTCAGGCTGAAATATGTCACTAGTTACATAGGAGTACCATTTTAAGCGAAGAGCTGCACTAAAAAGGGAACGGAAAAGTTTTACTTTTAGATTTAATGTAATTTCGTGGTTACGGAGAATTCTACACTTGAAGCAATCGCTCATTTTTTTACTGACCCTGATTTCGTGGATGAAAGTGCCCGTATTAACGAGACATCACTGTATATGTCGTGAATGATGACGAAAATACATCATTGTCATTATTCAAGGCAACTGAGCCAAAATATTATGTTAATAAAACAAAAAGAAACAGGTTGCCCCCAACATAAATAACCCCTTCAGTGCGCATGGCATTGTTCGCAGGTGCCTTTATCTTCACGTCGTTATATGCCGTACTTCCAATGTAAACATGAAAAACTCAACTCAATTTTATCGTAACCCTTGACGTTTGCTACAGATGGGACGCATTTGTTTCCAGCTCCAACGTCCTAACTCTCGCAGATATCACTGAGAAAAACATGTGGTCATAACAAAGAGTTGCGCTTATTTTTCTTCCCCGGCTTGTGCCGCTAAATCACGATCGCGGACTTGGATTGGCAATTCTCCATTCACGCGTTATTTTGAATTCAAGAGCCTTGCGTCACCGCTAGACAGTGATATATTTGCGAATCCTTGCGCTTAACGCGAATGATTTTGAAAGCTCCAAGGCAAACCCAGCCTACAGGCTGATTACGAGCGCTATTCCAGCGAGAAAAAAAAACGTTTGCATAAATAAGCCAATATTTACTAAGTACTATTAAACGTTTTCACAGTGGCATAGGAAAAAAGATACTGCTTTTTGTTTTGATTTTTTCTTATGCAAAGTGCGAAAAATGGCAAAAAACGTTCTGGCTAACACCACTATACTCACAGATGGCATAACATGAAGCAAGAAGCGTGAAAGCTTCTTTGAGATCCATACCCAAAAGCGCATCCAGCAGATTCCCATTGTGTGGTACCTTCTGTAAGAAATAGCAACAACCAATTATCTTTTTCTACATTTTCCTTTTTGTTCGGGGTAAAAATCAAATGTTTTTTCTGGCCTATTTTTTTTTTCTCACTCTTACTTTCAGAATTTCATCGTGATAAATGCATCACCTAAAGATAGCTTTGTGAAACCGTTTCATTGCACTCCGGTCATTGGTTTGCTTATACGAATGGGTTTTACGCCTGAATAGCGCTAGGAAACACACAGTAGTAATGAAACGGATTATTGAATTCCCGTACTAACATTTCCCCATGAACGTGTGGTTATCCTTATTAAGTTATCTATATACAGGGCCTTGGTTTTTAAGCTCAACGGTTTTGTTAAAACAAGACAAAAAGCCTTGAAAGCTGCACAAATGCAGTTTGTGCAGGTGAGCTATACGGCGAAACGGCCGTAGTATAGGGGACCAATCGCAACGATCATTCCAACAATTAACTAAAATAGGATAATTAACGTTTTAATTATTGAAAATAAATTTCGCATGGTTATAATTGTAAACTTTCTGAGCGTCACTGGAAACCACTAAATTAGTCAATATTAGACAAACTTGGAGCACGTGGGAAGCACTGAGCTCACGGTTTTTCTGCCTTATCATACGCGTATTCACAACCCAGTATTTTTCCTGTGACACTTCTGGCGCTCTACTGCGCTTCCAAAGAGCTCAGTCATTCTCAGAATTACTGATTTAGAGGTTTTCAGTGAAGATCAGCAAGTTTCTAAATCGAACTATAACTGAGTCTATTTTAGCTAACTAAAAACGAAAGCCGTTTACAACGTCATGTAACGCCGAATTAGAGCGCAGCTTTTGAGGAGAAGGAGGGAAGGGAACTGAGGGGAGAGTATACCCCTTCTCCCTCCTCCTCATCCTGTCTGCTACTCCTCCCTCCGAGTGGCGTCGCCGTCGCCTCACGAGGGTCACGTGACCTCACGTGACCCTCGTGGTGGAAGCACCGTATAAAAACTTCAAAGAACGAAGTTACCCGAATAAACAGTAAAAATATGTCAACCGGTTTTCTCTACCTACGGCGTCCGTCTGCTAATCGCGCACCCTCCGACTGGCTCAGCAAGCGACAGTTGGCGGCGGCGGCCCCGGCAACTCAGAGGCTCTGCGACGGCCAACGCCAGCACAACAGCCACCGCTGTCGCTGTGGCCATCTGTCTGTTGCACAAGTCAGAGGGTGCGCGGTTATTAAACAGACGCCGTAAATTTAAAAAGAAAAATTAAAAAGAAATAGTTTTAGTTTCTTTTTTTACGTTTTTTTTTTTATTTAGGTAAGTTTTTTTCTGTGAAACTTCGATTCGATGATGCCACCACATTCGGTCGCTTCTGTAATACATCGTAGCGTCATACGTGAGCAAGCCGATCTATGCGGTAACGTTTAAGGCTTCACCCGGCTTCGCGACCTCGCTGTAGTTGCAAATAGGAAAGTACAGTTGCCGAGAGCAAAATAAACTCACGTCGCGGCAAGTCCCGGGTATCTTCTATAGCTCCGCACAACCAACGAGCTTGCGGCTGTAGCTGATAAAAAAAAATGCCTACGAACGCATCACAGACCAATAAGCGTTCACATTGCAAGCCACGCCCCCTGTTGTTGTTTTTTTCGTTTTTGTAAATATAGTAATATTACGTAAATTATCATACGACCCTTTTTTTTACCTGCACTCCAGATATGCCCAGAGTAATCAATTCAAATAATTAATATTCAAATATTTTTGTTCATCAGCAATAAATTTGTTTGTCACGACAGCCACATGTGGCTGTCTAGAAAACCTTTATCTACTAAAGACGTCGCTGTCAGTGACAGCCACATCTGGAGAAGATAAAGTTCCGTAGTCGCTGACCGACTCAGAGGAGCAGGGCACGACTTATCCTGATCACGCTGCTTGAGTCGTGATTGGTGGTTTTGACGTTCTCGTCGTCTAATGCCTCAACCTCATTGGCTGCGGAACCATATTCTCGAGACTCGCCATGTAATGCGCCTATTAAGTCGTCAGTATTATAGTTTGTAATATTGGCTATATTAGATGCACCGTATGAATCGCACCGGTTTTACTGCGACGACTTCATTTCATTTCATTTATTGAACCTTAAGGGCCCGTAAGGGCATTACATAAGGGGGTGATCATCCATATTATACATTGGAAAAACAGACACCAAAATAAATACATTCAGGAAAAGGTAGCTGAATGGTTAACAAAGCAAAAAGTGCAATTGCAGACTTGATTTAAAGGCGTCTGGGTCTACGATGGTGACGATGGAGGACGGGAGGCTGTTCCAGTCATTGATGGCTAGCGGGAGGAAAGATCGGTTGAAAGCGTTTTTTTGAGCCAGAGATGCTTTTGATGGTACAGGCATTATTAAAGCGAGATATTGTCCGATCGAGAGGTGATAATATTGCTGTTTTAAGACTTTTTCAGGACACAAAAACAGTCATCTACGTACCGTAAAAAAAATCTTGAGTGCTGGGGTTAGTGACTGCAGTGCCTTCTGTTCAATAGCTTCCGTGCAGAGGTTTGCCATGGTGACGGAGATGAAAGTACCCATCGCGGTTCCCGTGTGTGCTTGAAAAACTCCCCCTTGAAGCTGAAAGTTGAAGCCGAATTGGCCTCGGAACGTGGGGTCCCTATTGAAGGGCTTGGTTGGTGTTCGAACTTTTTAATAATAAATTAAATTGTTTACTCATACACTGCATTGTGTGCAGCATAGGACTATAAGGATAAAGGTCGCTGACTTTTTTTCTTTTTTGCTTTTGGCTTTTGGTGCTGCCCAGATATCATTAGTATCTTGTCTGGAGCTGGCCGAGGAACTATGGTGACAGTGGCTCTGTGTGCACGACTATAATGCCAGAGGAATCTGCTGCAAGCCTTCAAGATCAGAAGAAAACAAATGACGCAAGTTCTTTCCTCAAGGTTTCGATTATATAAACTAAAAGTGATTCCTGCTTCGATTTGCAGATGTATTACCAAAACTACAACAAGAAAGATGCTTTCTAACAAAAAATCATGGGTGGCCTACATCAAGTGCAAGCAGTTTCTGTTTTCTAATCAGCGCACTTTAAGCCATAACTAACTTTATAGTGAATCAATCCTCCATGCTGTTTTCAGTAAACAAGCACCGTAAACACCATTTATTAAAATGTAAACGTCAATCTCACATGCCTAAAAAGACAACAAAATACAAAGACCAGTCTGGGTTGATAAAGATACTCCAATAAAAATGTCGGACTTACTCAAATAAATTTATTAAGAGTAAAACAAATCTGCTTTACTTAACTATTTTAACAATAATCTTGTTTGCACTGCCG